AGCCTCGATCCATCAGTTTTTCCCTTACACCGGGACGTGTGGCCACAATGGGATCCTGTCCGCAAAATCGAAGAACTTGCAGAAGGCCGAGCCCTAGACGATTTCTTCCCTCACCGTGTGCATCGATGATATTTCTCGGGAGGACGACGGTTGCATTTAACGATGACATATTTCGCTGGGACATGAAAAGTGATGGTCTTGGCCACATCTGATATACATACATAGTATTTTATGCACGGGCCCATTGACAGCGTACCAATGCAGAACTGCGTGTAACTCGTGTCCCGACTCAACGCAGGGGAGCAGTGGCGGGGGGTGGGTAGGATCGTCGAGTGCGAAGGGCGAACCTCTGCATCGGCATGTCAGCCGAGAATGGAACGCGACGTCACAACGGCATATCATGAGGGCAATGTAACAAGGTGGGAGGGACCGATGAGGGATACCTGCATAGAATGCATCGGGATGGAGGAGAGAGATGAGCACCGGGGCCGTTGGAAGGATGTGTTGCGGACGGAGGTGGTCACAGCAGAGCGGAGGGAAGATGCAGAAGGATAAATGCGACCATTTCGTCGGCACTGCCAGTGGTGCTGGACGGGATGGGGCAAGAGTGCATGTGGAGGTGGCCATGGCACGGTCATAGCAACGTGTGGATGACGTCAGGATCAACAACGGACGAGGCAGCGGAGCGGTGGGAGTGTTGTCGCATGCCAATAAGATGGACGCTGAACGCGTCGGTTCATGAGCGGGGTCTCAACATCTGAGCCCCAGGCTCATGACAACCTATGGGACTTGCAAGATCTGCAGTATTGTCGTCTATTAGTTAGATTGTATGGTGGAACAGCTCCTGAAAAAAAAGGGTTTACATAAATGGTTCCATGGACCATACGCGCGTTACTCGCTCTATCACATGGATTAGGTTCGAACAGGACCACGGCAATTCAGTCTAAGCCCACAAGACCCGCTACAAAGTAGCGGGAATTATATACACAACAAAAGAAAATAAAATGGGGGCTCCGGGTTGATAGTTTTGGATGGGAGGCGGTGCTGAAGGACGAGGGAAAGGTGAAGGGGGTGGCGGACTTCTCGGCATTCGTGTTTGCAGAGCGGATTGTGAAATGTAAATGAATAAACGAACGGAAGCGGTTGAACGGGGGAAGGAGGAAGGAAGTCCCCCTCGTCGTTGAGCTGTAGACACACCTGCAAGGGGATCCTTTAGACGGTCGTGGAGAGTGCCCGATCGGACTCCAATCGGGGATGGCTCGTAGGGAACGCGTATAGTACGCATCGGGGGCCATAGCGCACTTTCGACGGGTAATGAACGCGAATTGTCGAACGATGGGAAAAGGGACTCACCTCTAGCGTCTCTCAGCCATGTGTTTCACGCCTCACCCATGCAAGTCCAAAGCCCGTCATGTGCACGTCGAAAACGCCACCCCTTGCCGGGTCTATCCTGTTTCCTGGTTTTCAAACGAGACTGGGGCGCAAACGCTCCCAGCGACGAATGCGGTAGGCAGGTGAGGCAGTGAGGGGTTTTTGTTTGCGTCGTCAGACTGAATGGAAGAAACAACGAAAGAGCCCCGGAATCAGATTGCGATCGACCGTTACATAAGTCGATTCTACCATTCAATTGTTATGTAAACGTAGGAGATATGTATTGTGACTTACGTCATTTTGCTGACGGTACGCCGAGCGATGACGTCTGCCGATTTTTTCGTTAACGTGTCGAGATGAGCGTCCTTTCCTGTGGATACAGCTCACATCTCCACCATTTGGGATGAAGCCTCATGGTGTTGGATTCACTTGCCCAAGCACCTTCGAACGTCAGTCCCCAATTGGAATCTGGAACAGCCAATGGACCGTTGAGAGTTTCAGATCGCGCCCGTATTAGTTTCCTGATATATGGCGAACGTCTTTGTCAAACCCGATAAGACATGGTTACAAACAAAAGGCTAGTTAGCTGTAAACAGAGGAATGGTCTTTGGCCTCGATATTGGGTATCTTTGTGAAGCTTCCGAGCTCATCCGGGCACCAGTCCCCGACTCGATGGATTGAGTGCTTAACTTTTGCGTTGTCAAGGAACCCGTCGTTTTAAACAGTACATTCTGTTTACATGTACATAAAAAAATCATTTGGTGTTCGTGCATCGCAATACACGACGTGCTTTCCCACTTCCTTACGTTGTGCCGTGGCTATCGGAAGGCGGAGACGTTTGGAGACTTTGGCGGCTCGCGTAGCAGGACTGGGAGCTCCAGTTAAAAGACAACGCGCATTAGCCTCCCGTAGCGTTATCAAGGCCGGGACCAGGCTCATCCAATTGAAGAGGAAACATCCGCAATTCTCATTGAGCGCAGAAGACCAACTGCTTGTGGCCCTGAACAGGTGTGGGCGAGCAGCCCAAGATGGCATTGGGGTAGAAGCGCCCCATGCAGATGGAATCAGGGCGTATTGATGGGCTAACATGAAAACGCGCTGTGTTGCTAAAATACGGCGACGAGGGTATAGGATCCTATGGGCTTAATTCGCCCCATCGGCGTCGCTGAAGGTGCCTCAACGGAAGTTAGGGTTACTCAAGTTTGGCTCTAGCTTGAAAGCCAGGTCACCGAGAATACCGTAAGGAAGATCCTACTGACCGGAATTTTTAAAGAAAAATGCTAGCTCGTACTTGAATGGGAGATCTAACGGTAAATACTTAGCGTGGGTCTTGCCGCGGTATGCGTTCAAATGGGGGTTGCGTCTCGACGCTCTTTGTACTCCAAGGCTGGTTGGGTTGTAGTCCGACGGCGTCCAACCGTCCTTGAGCTCTTCGCGGGCGAAGATGAGTTGTTGCTGGTCTGGGGGGTTCCTTCCTTACCTGGGGGCTTCGTCTTGACGTCGTCAATCGCGTCCCACCCCTGTTCCGGGTGTTTTACCCCTGAGCCCAGGCGTAATGGGTGGCCTGCGGTAAAAAGCCGTGAATTTCACCTGGATTTCCCGGTGTTTTTTTTTTTACTACGAATTACTTCCGACAGCGACTAGACTACTTACTAAACGTCGTGTAATTTCTGGCGTTTATGTATTGCTAGGTAATCCTGAAAAATAAACCCATACTACTGCCATGAACTGGGCGCTTACGTATCATTGGCTTTCTCACCGATTACAGGTCTTGCGTTACGGATCGCTCTCCCGGCCCCCTACCCCTTCTTTGGCCTTAAGAGGCGATGTGTAGAAACCCTAAACCATGAACTAGCGCTCGGCGGCTGGGAGGTGGTAGATGAAGGCGGCGAACTGAGGTGCTAGGCCGGTGGAGCCAAGGGGCATGCAGAGAGGCCGCCTACTGACGCCATTGGTCGGGTGGGTGGCGCCCTAAGCCTGCCCCTGGAAACGAAGAAGCAAAGGGCTCGGGGCCTAACGGCCCATGAAGCCGGAGACCGAGAAGAGCCCATGCAGATGCAAGCTAGGGCTGGCTCTTACTGATTTGTACGAAGTAGCTAGCAACCGCTGAATGCACGAAAAATGCGCGCCATGCATGCGATGGTCGGCCAAGTGAGCGTGAAATCGAAACGCGCGTCCACGGTCCTATGTCATGTCACGTGATTTGTGTGTGTGGAAGAAAGGATCTTTCGGCCCCTGTTCCTGCCCCCCCGCAGGAGGGCGCCGATGCTTGGGGCTAAGGGGGGAAAGGAAAGGCTTAAAAAACTTACAAGGGTGCTCCAAAAGGTCCTTCCTGGCTGCATGGGTCGGTTATAAGGCTTGGCTCCTCCCTGGGCCCCCTACCAGGGCCCCTGATGCTACCAGCGAATTTCGATCAGCCATGCTGCCTTCAGGGCTAGGTATGAGTGCTAAGGACGAGAGCTAGGTGATGGGGAAAGACCCCTAAGGGGGGGTGCGGAGGAGAGGGAGAGAGAGCGGATAAAAATTTTCGAACCAAACAAGAGTAAACAGTAAACGGTTTACCCGCTCTCCTGCCTAGCGACTGGACAGGAAACAACAGGCCTTCCGGGGTGGGGATTTAGGTTCCAGGTCTCAGTACTTGATCGGAGGGAAGGAGGGAGCCGCCTGGTTGCTTAATCGGTTTGCCTCAGCCCTAGATCCTCGTTCTTGGTGTATCCACCGTTTCTCCTTGTTTCGCATCCTTGAGGCCAGCATAGGGCTCAGCACGACTTGATCGACTAGATAGTGCAGCCTCAACCAGTTTCTGGCGCCCTCCATTTCAAATTTTAGCTTATTTGCCTGTTGTTCCTGGGGCCCGCTTCTTGAGAGTACGAGCATGAGGCTGACAAGGGGAAGCTAGTTCAGCTTGCCTCAGGGCAGCAGGTAAGTTAGCAGGCCCTCCTTTTTAAGAGCTTTTTAATTTACTCTTCTAGGCTTATATGCTGGAAACTCAGGTGTCACTCTGGGATAGCATCGCGGCCCTTAGGCTAGCTACAGGGCAAACATTCAACCTCTACAATAGCGATAAGGCTTCAACAGCAGAGCCTGGAAGCCCAAAACTCCCTTCATCCCCTAGCTCGCTTTCTTCCTGGCCTCCTGTATCAGCGATGACGGCGCCGACTCTACCCAGGATGGGGGCTTGCTGATCCTGTCAGATCCTGATGAGGACGACGTCTTGACGGGCTATGTAGAAGGCGATGAGGCAGTTTTTCCTCCTATCGAACTGAATGAGAGGTAGGTCGTGTGTAGGCCGTGGTTGGGTGACTGCCTCTTACCCTTTCGTAGGAATGAAGATCCAGCCCACCCACCCAGCTCAGCACCTCCAAAGAAGAAAGGGAAAAACGCAGCGCGTCGAGAGAAACAACGTGAGGGCAAGAAGGCTTTTAATGAAGCCCACCTGGAGCAAAAGCGTTCGAAGGATGGATCCCGCTCCCAGGCAAGATTGGAGAGAAGATTACGTCGACAAGCAACAAGCTTCCTAGCCCGTACTCTGTTTTCAAGCCATGAAACAGCAGCCAGCGGTATCTCAGGCCCAGGCGAAAGAAGTTAAAGAAGATGAAGCTTTAGTTCGAAATCTGGAAACCCGTTTCCAATGGCTGCAACGCCTACAGCCTGTTCCATACCAGTGAGTGCCCGCTTTTCAGGAGTATATAGAAAACTGGGAGGTTCTCATATTTTGTTTAGGCCTAATCTCAAGGGCCCAACGCTCATTTCTGACAGGGAGCGAAGACTCCTGATGCTCCGGACATTCCCCCACTCAGTAACTAGTACAGACGCCTTTCAGATTAGGCTACTGCATCAAATAGATGGGCTTTTTAGCCGCTCTGCAGGTGTTTCATACCAGGGAAAACGAGGCCCATTTGGTACAGTACACATAGGATTTAACAGAGCTAATGGGAACAACCAGAATGTAGGTGGTATGGGATTTATTTCAAACGGTGCCCTGCTGAGTATCGCTACCTAGTATCCGTTCCTCACGGCTTATCACCAGCAGAACCAAACCCTAGTCGACCAGTTCCTGAATTCACAGGAATTTCAACTCATCAGGTGTGTTGCAAACCCTTGCTACTGCAGTCAGGGGTAACCCTCCTTGGCCAGCTCGCACCTCACAGAGATGCTCCTCATGTATTACCCAGGTGTATTCCAAAAGTACAAACAGGTTCAGCAGTTTTGGGAGGCCTATGAGCCTCTTCAGGTGAAAACCGTAGCCTCCTTGTTCTTTAGCGTTGCCATCAATGCACCCTCAAGGACTCAGAGGTGGAACATGTGTATACGTGGCCTCATAAGGACCACCATAACATAGCAGCAGGAGTTTGTGCTGTATACGTTTATGGTAAGTGCCAAACACACTTCATAGCACTGTTCCCTCTGAAGAACGTTTCAGGGTTCTTTGCACATGCTGAATGTGCATGGCTGGTCAATTTGGAAGGGCGAGTAATCTTGCAGATACCACCTGATCCTTTGTCATCTTCCCCTCCGCTCTGATAACCCATTTCAATGTGGATCTCCAAGGTAAGAAGGCAAATTTGGGCTCATGAATCATGTCTTATTTTCGATCAGAATTTTCGAAGCATTTGGTGGTTACAAAGAATTTCGAGACCCCAAATGAGTTCAAACCCAGCCATTGAGGCATATAGGCACTGGGCGAGGATCAATGGTATTCTTCAATCCAGCCTCATTCTGGTCAGAGCTTATCTCAGGCACCGTACTTGAAGGAAGCACGGGAATCAGGATCCAGTAGACTTCAGAGCAGAGGTTGAAGAACACTTCCCCCTCTTTTCTGATTCCAAATATAGGGTATGGATATGGCATTTGGGGAAATACTTAGGAATAAGTGTTGTTGCCTTGATTTCTTAATGAATAGAACGTTATCTTATGTAGTAAAGGATTTTGATATTTCACTTGTGTTGTGCTGCAAGTGGGAGCAAAGGAGACTCTCTAGGCCCAAGAGGGGAAAAGAAGGCTATAAGAGGGATGCTCTGTTGGATGAACAAGCCATGATGACCACATGTATTACTTATGCTCATATCTATGATACCAGTGGTCACAACACCTGTCAAACTTCTCAACTGGTCCTGTGACATATATCTGTGATGAACCAAAACATGAATATCTCATCAACCCCTATTCCATTTGTAATGAAAGTTCAGCACTGAGTCTTTCCGAATATTCTGCAATTAATGAGCCCTATTTCATTCGCACCTTTGTAGGTGGAAATTTCCATGTCAGGCCCAGCACCCAAGCCCTGACCCCCCACCTCCTTCCTTTCTCTACCAGTTGTTGTTTCATTGCCTTGTACACTTGTGTGAGCACGGAAGCGTGAGAAGACCTCCAGACACTGCCACAGTTCAGGGCAAGCAACGAGCAACTTGCCCAGAAAATTCTCATGGCCTCCAAGTATACCACCTGGACCCCTATGGTCACACACCATACCAAGCATCAAAGCATCAATCAGTACTGTTGCTCCTCTTCCATCACTACCACATCATTGTTGAACCTAACGGAATAACTGCTTGCTCTAATGCTAAAGCTCAGTGTCAAAACCCACACGAAAAGGGAAAGTGCGTGAGTCTGAATGCAGGCAGGGCTCAACTAGAGGGGATCTGAGAGCTCCAGTAGTGAACCGAAGCTTCTCCAGGAAGCCCAGGTCTGCTGGTGGTACAAGTGGCTCTAAGAAGGACGTGGCCTCAGTGACTCGGAGGGAGTGCTGTGCCTCCATACATCTCAGTTAGTCCTTATATTCATGTGTCTGAGGTATCTGTAGGAAGGGGTCGGGATTCACTCATAGAGGGACTTGGGGTAACTTTTAGTTGAGATTAGAACTGGGGAACTACAGGTTCTAATCTACAAGTATTATATATGGAGGAATGGGAAGGACTTTAGTCAAAGTCCAAGTGATAATTGAAAACATGAAAGGTGCCAAATAATACTGAAAGGTACCGAAAGGTCCTGAACGATATCCTTAATGGGGAACCAAGGTGTTGGGTCGAGAAGGCCGGAGTAGAAGGTGGGAGGATGAATGGGAACGAGAATGGGTAAGAGAGTTAGCCGACTGAATGGAAAGAAGGCAACAGTTGTACTATAAATGGAAGGTGACTAATTTGTGATGATGTGAGGGGATCACTGGAGGATGCAGGTAGCTCCAAAGGCGGAGTTACATATCCAAGGCCGGAGCTGAGACAGTTAGGAAGGAAGGTGACTTGGGGAGTGGGAGTTATGGTGTAGGGGATGATGAAGTTGTTAGGAAGGTGTGATGAGGTGGGAGAATGCGGGTCGGGATTCCAGATATGACACTCAGTCTCAAGCTAATGTGTGAGAACTGTAATATCACCTAATGCTAAAGCTATAAGGTAATATACAATGTATAAGAAATAAGAGTAAAAGAATGTTGTTGTTAGAGAGATGAAGATGCGCAGATACAGACAACTCCGGAGTGGAATCGGAGACTTAGCATGAAGGACCTTGGCCTCAGCGACTCAAGCGGAGCGCTGTGCCATTGCTGTTTGTCCATTTGGTCCTTAATTTCACAGTAGGCGAGCAGGAAGTCTCTAGGGGGCATTCAGGTCGATTTTGGACTGAGGCCAAAACGAGTATGTACAAGCGCCGATATATATAATGGAGGGGCAAAAGCACAAGGAAACAAAGGGGATCCAAATCAGAATGAAGACGTCCAAATGGAACAAAGGGTAGACAGCAGCGGAGCGGTACCGAAGGTCATAAGACAGAACCTGTGATACGTTCCGAAAGGAGGTAGGGAGGGCAAGGCCCAGAGGGGCAGGAGGATGAGGAGAAGTGGGGGTGATGACTAACTGGCTAGAATGGGAAGAAGCAGCAGTCCAAATAGGGATGAGGAAAATGTGGAGAGATACATTACAAGCGGCGAAAGTGCCAGAGATGATCCACGAAGCTCAGAGGTTGCAGAGCTTATGGAGGCGGGGTTGGAAGTCCGAGGAATATTGCAATGGTTTTACGTAGTATGAGGTCACCAATGCAATGGACTAAGACCGAGGTGGAGTCAAAGTCCAAGGTAGGGACTAAGATGGAGGCTCAGAGCAGGTACGAGCGGTGCCCAGTACAAAGTACGGACAGCGGTGGAAGGTCGTAACTTGGCAGGGGGTCAGCAGAAGAGTACCAGAGGGGAGAGAGAGGAGAAAGGGGAAGAGGGAAGGAGTGGCGGAAAGGAGAGTTGTCAGTTCGAAGGTGAGTATCGGAGTGGACGGGAGAAGCGTAGGAGGATGACGGAAGGGTGGAGGTGTGTGAGGAGGAGCGGAGAGTAGGAGGAGGAGTGGTAGGATGTTATAAAAATGGGGCCTAATTGGCCCATTTCTATAGCGTTCGGGTGCAGGAGAGGGCCGTGACATTGAGAAGATGTTACAATTAATGTACAGATGTTGTAACAGTGGGGTTTACAATAACATGGACATCGGGTGTTTTGGTGTGATAATAGTTGTTAGGTTGTTATTATATACATGTCACGTGATAATATACTGTACAGAGGCCATAAGAGGCTAAAAAAGGGAATTTCCCATTTCCATAACATAGGAGGGTGGTGAGAGGGGCGGTGTTCGGTCCGAGTGAGTATCGGAGCGGATGGAGATAGGGGAGGGAGGGAAGGAGGAGTAGTAGTAGGAAGGTGGCGAGAGGGCGGTGTTTGCCAGGACCGAAGGTGATTATTGGAACGGACAGCAGTAGGGTAGGACTTGGAGGTAAGGAAGGAGGAGGTCCGGAAGTCGGGTTGGATCGGGTATGCATGGATATGACAGTTGTAACTAACCTCAGTCTCAAGCTAATGCATGAGAACCAAGGGAAAAGGAAACTAATTCAAATGAATGAATATAGTTTGTGGCCTCTGCAGAAAAGTCCAAAATAGCCAAATAAGGAAGAAAGTGTGACTTGTGGGGGGCAAGTCACATGGTCTAACCAAGTAAACTCGGTTAGACCAAACCTTCTGGCAAGTCCGGAAGGGGTCACAACTAGTGCCTTCCAGCAATATATGTGCTGCCCTCCAACAGAACCTCCACCACTCATTGATCATCTGTGTCATAATACCCGATCCCGAACTGACTTCTGGACCCTCCTCAACCACCTCCGGAGTCCTACCTTACCACTGTCCGCTCCAATACCCACCTTCGGATGTGATGCCTCTCATCCCACTCTCTCAACACCTCCTATCACCCCTCACCTTCTGTCTGCTCCGATACTCACCTTTCAGACATGACCCATTCCTCTTCCACTCCTCTCATCACTCTCCTCCCTCCTCCCCTCTTCCACCAACCTCCACCAAAGTTATGACCTTCCACCACAGTCCTGTACCCCATACTGGGACACTGCTCGTACCTTGGCTCCGAGATCCTGTCATGTCCCCGACCTTGGACTTTGACTCCACCTCGGCTTAAGTCCATTGCATTGGTGATCTCATCCTATGTAAACACCATTGCCAACATTTCTTGGACTTCCAACCTCACCTCCACAACTTCCGTAAGCTCTGCAACCTCTGAGCTCCATGGACCATACTGGCACTTTCGCCGCTTGTAATGTATCTTTTGCACTTTCCCCTCATTCCTATTTGGACCTTCCTTCCATTTTAGCCAGTTAGTCACCAACCCCACTTCACCTCATCCTCCTGCCCCTCTGGGCTTTTCCCTCCCTACCTCCTTTCGGTTATACCACAGAGTCTAACTGTCAGGGAAATAGCCCCAAACCCCAAGCCATATGTAATTACGAGGTACATATAGTCACATGGGGTAAGTGGTAACTTCCGTTAACTGCTTACACACACTGTAAAATACACACCTTCGTATCACTTATGGCTCTGTGTGCTGAGCTAGCCCACTGAGACCTCACACTTTTTTAAGTGTATGAGGTATGTTTTACAACACAACCCACCAAGACAATCAAATCGAAATAACAACTTGACTCGGTAGCACCGATGGTGCCTAAACACACCCACAAGGGCAAGGTCATGTCTGCAGCGACGATAAAGAAAAACGAGCGGTTTATAAAGAAACTGCAATCTCCCATCATGGGAGATTCAAATCAACAGCCATCATCAGACGATGAGGATCAACACGATCCAGAGAGAACAACCACCTTGGGGCTGGTCCCTGAAGGTTTCAAAAACTTACCTGGAGTAAGTGTGGGGCCCAATACCCCTAGAACTCCATGTCACATCGATCTCACCCAAGCTGGGGAAGATCTCTTGCCTCCTCATGTGGTGATCGACTTGCACGATAAATGCATAA